TCCCACTGCGGGCGTCCTCCGCAGCTTTGCTCCTCGTCTCCCTGGTCTGACCAGCAGACCAAGGAGACGGGGAGCAGCTTTTCTCGCCCTGGAGAACGGGGGCGGCGGGACCGTGGCTCATCTGGGCGTCCCGCCGCTCCCGTCCTCCGGGGAGAGAAAAGCCCTGTTCGTAACTGCGGATCCGACTTAAGTCGGATCCGCGTAACTCGGGGACTGCCTGTAGTCTGGTAGTTAGAGTGCTGGGCTGTTGCACACCTAGGTTCAAGTCCTGCTCTGCAGTGATTTGGGATGAAAACGTCTCTGAGTCGCACTTGAATTTTGGTCTCCCAACCACAGTTAAAGAATGTCTCTCAAGCCTTCCTGACATATTTCATGAAAACTGTTTCACAGAGGGTACATCTAGACTGCAAGCTTCTTTCGAAAGAAGTTTTTTCAAAAGAGCTCTTTCAAAAAAGGCTTCTTTCAAAAGAGAGCGCTCACACCTCAAAACCAGATTGAAAAAGCGATCTGCTTTTTCGAAAGCGAGCGTCCAGACTGCATGGATGCTGTCTCGAAAGAAAGCCCTGATTGCTATTCACAGAATGGCCACCAGAGCACCTGTGCTTTTTTTGATTGCCTCTTCTTTCAAAAAATGTCCCTGCTCTGCATCCACACACGCCTTTTTTTGAAAGAGCTCTTTCAAAAAAGGCGTTCCTCCTCGTAATTAGAGGTTTACCAATGTCCAAAAAACCCCTGCATTCTTTTGATTTAATTTCGAAAGAACGTGATTGCAATGTGGATGCGGGTGAAGTTTTTTCAAAAAAACAATGTAGTCTAGACATACCCAGAGATGTATCTTTTTGGCTTTGCCAAAACTGCATACTGTCTGAAATCATTCCAAGCACCTCTGCCATGCCTGGAATACTTCAGGGTAATAAACCCCGTAACAAACTTTTCTCATTGTTATTTAATAATTGCAGCACAGAAACCCCACTCAGGACTTATAATTCAACCCGGCAAGGTATGAAAATGGCATGATTTTTTGTGTGTGTTCCCTTCTAGTTCAAACCCATTTTCTTGGGTACAGCACATCCCCGAAGTGAGTTGGCCCAGTACCGGCGTGTGGTGAACAGCCAGAAGTGCGTGCGTGCTGGTGGAAAGCACAATGATTTGGATGACGTGGGCCTAGATGTTTACCATCACACCTTCTTTGAGATGCTGGGAAACTGGTCCTTTGGGGATTATTTTAAAGTGAGATACTTGAGCATGTGCTCCTCGGGACATGGGTCAGGTCTTGCTACCACGTGTCAAATGTACCCTGGGGTGCTGTATCAGGCATATTGTCTCGGCTGCTCTGATGAGCTTGGGATTTTTTATTTTTTTTTTGCTGTGAGTTCCAGGGTTTAAACCACCGGGTGAGCAGAGCGCGTGCTGGTGTTCAACAGCAAGTTAGCTGATCTGGAGGGGCTGGCTGGTTTTTCCCAACTGCCACATTGCCAAAAGAAGCTATCAACATGCTAAATATTCAGCTAATTCTTACATTCAAGTAGCAATTTGTGTAGTTGTCGTAAAGATGCTGGGTAATGGCAAATGGGGTGGCAAGGAGATGGGGCTGAGCACCAGCGAATGAGAGTGAAATACATCTCTGGTTTAAAATATGATCCATATTAGGAAAAGGTTTGCTAACTCCCCTGGTTTAAATGGTGCACCCCCTCTGGGAACACTAAATTGGAGGGTTACCTCCCAGAATTAACTAAAGACAATGGGAGCTGGCTTCAGATGACTTGGGCTGTGAACTGCATGGGAATGGGAATGGGCTAGGGAGTCTGTGATCCAAATTGGGGTAGAGGTGGCAGCCTAGTTCCTGGGGAGCAGACAACCCCACTTCAGCCATCGCTGTGACAGTTAGTCATCAAGACTGCCCCCGTTGCAAGAGGGAACCACTCAGTACTCTGCCTGTTGGACATGGGATACTGAGGTCACCAGCAGGAAGCTCATTGCTTGCTTTCCATAGATACCAGAAGGCCTGCTTTGGCGGTGTAGCCCTTTATCACTCTGTTCTACACTGTAGAATGGCAAAGGGCAAGTGCAACCAAGGCTAGCAGCGTCAGTGTGGCTTCCTTCCCTTTTACAGGCAGTCCCCGGGTTACGTACAAGATAGGGACTGTAGGTTTGTTCTTAAGTTGAATCTGTATGTAAGTCGGAACTGGTACATATTGTAGGGGAAACTCTAGCCCAGTGGTCCCCAACCATTAGAGGTTGCCGGGCGCCAGGGGGCGTGGCCGTTTGCCCGCCAGGGGGCAGGGACACTTGCGCGCAAGGTTTCATTTGTATTTTATAATGTACTGCAAAAGCAGGGCCAGCACTTCAGTAGGACTGCTAGCAATATAAGAGTGCCACAGTGCTGAATAACCAATGCTGAGACAGCTGTGATTTTCTTTCATTTGTACAGTGCTCAAGAAGGAACTCAAATGAATTAAAACGAAGCCACTCAATCACTAAGCAAAAGAGGGTTCCCTATCCTAGAATATTTTAAAGAATTTTTCTGAACAGGTGCAGCTCTATCAGTGCTACTAAGGGTAGAATCTAGTGCAGAAAGGCAAAGGGATTTTAACTACAGGCAATCTCTGGGTTATGTACAAGATAGGGACTGTAGGTTTGTTCTTAAGTTGAATTTGTATGTAAGTCGGAACTGGTACATATTGTAGGGGAAACTCTAGCCAAACATTTCTCCAGAGCTCAGTTTTATTCTCCCACACCTCACTTCCCTCAGTCCTTTATTCTCAAGCTGAGGTGTCTGCTGAGAAAAGCCGCTCCACGTCTCCCTGGTCTGCTGGGGGGGCGCTAGCTTTCCGTCTCCCTGGTCTGCTGGGGGGAAGCAGCTAGTGCAGGGTTGCCTCACCCCGTTTGTAAGTAGGGATCTGATGTAAGTCGGATCCATGTAACCCGGGGACTGCCTGTACTTCTAAGTTAGAGTCTCTCTCCTGGATGCTTCTGACTAGCTGTGCTGTCTTTTGCTTTTCCTCACTCCATTCAGGAGGAAGCATGTGGCATGGCATGGGAGCTCCTAACACAGATCTATGAGATCCCAAAAGACCGTCTCTACATCACCTATTTTGGAGGAGACTCTTCACTGGGGCTGAGCCCAGATGAAGAGAGCAAGGACATATGGCTCAGCCTAGGGTAAGTGTATGAGAGCAGAGGGGCAGGAGAGTCATGGGCAGAGGTGAGAGGCGAGTTACAGTCACCATTTGCTTGTTAGCTGGTAGGATGCAGACGTGGAAGAGAAAAGGATTAATCAGTGGGTTTTTGTTTTTTTTACTCTCTCATTTGAGTCCAGTTCCATTGGATTGTTATGAATTCCTTAGTGGCCCTGCAGCCCTGGTAAGCCCTGTCTTACCGCTCAATTGCCATTTCAAATGCAGCACTGGGTTAGTCAGGGTGATTACTGCTGGCCTGTGTGAATTGAGACCAGTGGCCTCAGGCCTGTCTTTAATAAAGATGTCTACACAACTGTACTTCCACAGTCAATGGTACTGAATCTCCTCTCAGCCAAGAGGCCTAGAACTGAATAGGTGGTGGAGCTGGAGCTCCTGTCTCAAACCTAGTGATCCCTCCCTCCAGGGAAGGGTGGAAAAAAGGATGATTTTTTTTAAACAAAAAATGTAGGTGCTTTTTAAATTAAGTAGAGGTTTGCATATTAAAAATAAATACATTGAAAATTAAATATGAAATAGAACCATGTTAAAGTCTAAACTTATAATTTAAAATTATACAGAAAATAATATTAAAGAGTAGATGTTTGCTGACAAATTGTAATGACAAACCACTTTTAAAGTGGAAGTCGCTGGCTAAACATCTGGAAATAAAGTTGAAAGAAGTGTTAAATGAAGTTTTGACAGCAGTGTCCTCTTCTGTGGGTGCAGAGGGGAATATTCACTCCATTGCAGTTTATTCAAATAGTTCAATTCAATGACTAATTCACTGGTTTCTTAACTTTCAACTGGGGAGTTAAAAAAGCTTGTTTTCCTCTTCTATTATATGACTAAAAACTAAGTATGAGAGGAAGAGTTCTAAAGTCCTGAAGGATATAATGACCTGATACAATCTGTTCAATTCACTAACTGCAGAGACTATGCCCTTTGTTTAGTAAATCAGCTACTTTTAAATGAAAATCATTTTTGTTAGACTCTGTGATACTTTCTGGTGCCCCAGAAATCTGTTATATTACAGTGATGTCGCTGAGCAGGTCAAATCAGGGCAAATTGCTTAGAAACAGGACTACTTACAGGCCAAGACTGGGGTTCCTCCAGTATAAGGCACACCACACAAGTCACAAAGAGCACTTCTGTTGCCACACTGTCCATTAAGAAGTCACACAAGCAGCCCCCTTAGCAATTCAGCATCTTCTGTGCCACAACCTGCACCACTCCTTACTCAGATGAGAGGTTATGAAAACCAGTCTCACCAAATCTGAACAGGTTCTTTCAATCCCAAAGGACCAGTGACTTTCCCAGGTCAGCTTATACCTCAGCTCTTGCCCACTACTTGAGACGCATTTTCAATGAAATACTGCTATTTGCTTGAGGCTATGTCTACACTACAGGCTTCTTGTACAAGAAGACTGATGAGATCAACAAAAACTCTCTAGTGTAAACCTTGCCTGAGTAGCCACGTTTTCACAATAAGTGAATGAACCCTGTTGATAACTCCCAGAGGCAAACATTTGAAATACAGCTACAAAGCCAATTCTCATCATTTCAGATATAAAAATGACACACGCATATGAACAGTATAAACAGAACAAGTGAATTATCAGCTTTCTATAGACACTGCAAATGTATAACAGTGGTTGCAACGATGTTTATATGCTAATCTCAAATCCAGTAATGTCACAGAGGCAGCTAGTTCAGCCCTCTGTGAGCAGAAGCAAGTACACCATATCGAGCTAGGTAACAGTACAGTCAGAGAGGAGTCCCCCAGACTCCTCTCCCTGGCTCATGGTAGCCTGTGGCTTGTGCACTGTGGAGGGAACAATCTGCTAGCCCTGCCTTGTGATCTCTGCTACTGTCTTTTTCAGGGTGCCTCCCAGTCATGTGCTGCCTTTCCCACTGAGGGAAAACTTCTGGGAGATGGGTGAGACTGGCCCTTGCGGCCCCTGCACCGAGATCCACTACGACCATGTAGGTGGCGGCAGGGACGCAGCAGCACTGGTGAACCAGGACAGCCCTGATGTGGTGGAGATCTGGAACTTGGTCTTCATGCAGTACAGCAGGTACTGATCCCCTGAGGGCTGCCTCAGAGCAACACTCCATATAAGAAACTTGTACCTCCCTAAAGACATTAATGTTCAATGAGTCCTTGCTCCACACTGGTTGGGACAGATGAGAGGGAGCTAAAGAAAGGCTTGGAGACATCTCAGAGGCTCCTCTTTGCCCTCTGTGCAGCCATCTGCTAGACACCCAACCAGTGTCTTCTCTTCCCCTGCTACTTTTTCCATCTCTGCCTTGTCTCTCAGATCTCCTCTGCCCTGCTGCTGCTCCTGTCAGTCGTGTCCCTGGCCTTGCCCCCTTTTGCCGCATAGCTGCACCTGTCAAGCCCCCTCTGCTCCTTCCTACAGCTTCCATCCTCAATCTGTGTCCCCCTCCAACCCCACTCAGATTGATTAGCACTTGTCCTCAGACTAACTTCCACTTCTCTTTGGCTTGTGTTTTGGGTGTGGGCTGGTGTGTTGCCAGAGAGGCTGATGGGAGTCTCCGTCCATTGCCCCAGCACCACGTGGACACGGGGATGGGCCTAGAAAGGTTGGTGACAGTTCTGCAGCGCAAGCGCTCCAACTACGACACAGACCTCTTCACCCCCATCCTGGATGCCATCCACCAGGTGATGATTAGCTGCCAGAGGTCCCAGCTGAGTCGAAAGCACTTTCCAGTCTGGGTGTCTAGAGGTTATCCGCTGAGCATTGAAATAGCGCCCCCCTGGGATGGGAGGTAGCAGCTGTCAAACACCACACAGCAGTGCTGCACAGCCGCTTAGGCCAGGACGTGTGTCCATTTGAAGAACGGTGGGGGTTAGAGAGCGGGAGAGAAAGTCCTAGCTTGGAATTTAACCAGGACCCCACAGTTCATAACTCCTGTTACAAGCGTCATGGGATTGTAATTGCCCCAAGTGGTTAGGTACTGAGTTTGATGATGATTCTGACATGCATGAGCCCTGGTCTCTTGTGTGCCAGATGGGTGTTAATGTGGTACATTTGGCATGCGGGGTAGACTGGCATCAGTGTGTGAAGGGAATTAGCTACATGCCTGGCATTAGGAGGAAGAACCACCTGGGAGCCCATCAGCCCAGAAAACACCCACCCAGAGCAATATTATGCAGAGTTTGCAGCCAGATGCCTTTCAGAGCAGCTGTGCTGTTCAGAGCTAGTTGCCACCTCTAAAACATCTCCTTTTCCATCCCATCCCTTTTCTGTCCACAGGGCTGCGGGGGGCCTGGGTACCAGGGCCTGATCGGGGCGGCTGATGTTGGATCTGTGAACATGGCCTACCGTGTGGTGGCGGATCATGTCCGCACCCTGTCTGTGTGCATTGCTGATGGCGTGTACCCTGGCATGTCTGGAGCCGAGTAAGGATGCATGATAATGGGGGAAGGGCTGCTTGACTGTGAAGGGGAGGGAGAGTACCAGCAGCAGTAGGGTGGATGTTCTGGCTGGAGGGGAAATGAGTGAGAAGGAAGCAGGTTGGAGATGAGAGAATATAGAGGGCACAGGGCAGGAGGGGCATGTAGGAACCAGCATGGTTATGTGTGGTTGGCCCTGTGGTGATCAGGACGGAGAAGGTATGAGGTGTGGGGAGCTGGAGTGTGCATAAGGAACGATCTAGGCATGGCAAAGAGGGGCTGACTTTTGGGTTTGTGTGTGGTAATGTGGGTGAAGAAGGCAGAGCTGGTTTCGGGGGCGGGGAGGGAAGACCTGGTCAGGGTGGGGCATTTGCTTGTATAGGTGGGACCTGAGCAGAAATGGGGAGCTGCTTTGTGCTAAGGAGCAACTGGGCAGCAGGCGCAGGAGCTTGATTGTGTGGCCAGAGAAGGGAAGCTGATTTGTGGTGGGGGGCTCAGGCATAGAAGAGGGAGCTGGGCAGGGAATGGGGAGTTGTTTGGGACTCATGGGCAATGTTTCCTCTAATTTTTTTCCATCCGTATGTGGAATACATTTCATGTGCACTGAGGCATTTGTGGATGTGCACCACCAGTGTAAACACCTGCAACCAGCTGTGAGCACTCTGCTAATCAGCTGGGCTGCATTTAAATCTCTCCTGAGTGGCCACCCATGCAGTCAGTTTATAGGATACAGTGCTCATGGGGCTGTCTTAGGAATCCTCCCCTATCTACAGGCTGGTGCTGCGCCGCATCCTGCGCAGGGCTGTCCGATTTTGCTCTGAAGTTCTTCATGCTCCGCCTGGGTTCCTGGCCAGCTTGGTTCCTATCGTTGTAGAAGTTCTGGTAAGCACAAAAGGGAGGGAGATTTGCCTATCAGCCTAGGTCTCATACTGCTAGATGTTTCTTGGCTGAGTGCAGGAGCAGTTTCCCGTGCCAGGAGGTTGTATCCACTAGGGATCTTTGACCGTGTGAGATGTTTATCCCAGTGACACTTGGCCTTCTTATTTCTATAATCTCAACAAGCTCTGAGCCAAACAATGTGTACAGCACAGGTCCGATGTGTGAGGGTGAAAGAAGAGACATGGGCTGCCAGCATAGACACTTCTCTAGCGTGCAGGTTCCCAAACGGGTTTCTGAAGAGCTGGCTGATCAGCTCTCCTCCCTTTTGTTTCTTTCTGCTTGATCTTATGAGAAGAAACTATACATACATTGAAAGCACTTTCCTAATACTTCTCTTGCACAAAAAGCATTTGCTAGAGTAGCCACAGAGGTGTCCTGGAACACCGCATGGGTGGAGAGGGGGGATCCATGCAGCAGCAAGGACAAGAGAGGCAGCTGTGAAACAGTAGCTATTAACCAATGTGTAATCTCACTCTGTTGGGGCTCTGATGGGTGCTGTCTTCCTCCTCTTCCACCAAAGAGGCACTGCCTTCATGCCCGTCAGGAGCCAGCCAGAGTCACACAGAAGTGCAGAAAGTATCAGTTAATTAAAGTTGGCTGTGTCTGGGAAGCAAGGTGGGAAGCGGTTAGAACAGGGGATTTGGAGAGTGGGACACACGCAAGTCACTGCCTAACCCTACCTTACTTTCTCCATGGAGGTGTGGCACTTGCCTTACAGGGCAGTGGTACGCTTCTTTAATACTTTCAAAGCAATTTGCAGTCCTCGGATAAAGGTGCAATAGCCATGCAGAGGCATCTGGCTCACCCAGATGCAGCCCTGAGATGGAGTCCCATGGGCTGAGCAGGGTCAATGCAAAAGGGCTCAGACGAGCCCATGTCCCTTGTGGTGGTAGGGAGGAGTGTTGGTGCTGACACTGCATGCAGCTTTTTCTGATGCTCAGTGCAACTTGCTCTGCAGGGAGATGCCTATCCAGAGCTGAGGAAGAACGCAGACCAGGTGAGCAGCATGGCATCTGCTGGGGAGAAGCAGTAACCCCTCATGGGAATCATGGCCAGCCTGGATTTGGGGGCTCCCTTAAGCCTCCTCTTTCAATATCACTGACCTTTTGGATATGTGCACTGCTGCCCTTCACATGCTATGAAAATGGAGTAGGGGCAGGGGATGTGAGCAAATGAGTTTGCCCTGTCCCCAGCACGGCCGCTCTCTTGGAGGGAGGGGAGGGAGCACAGATTCCAGACAATGGGCGTGCGACTTGGCGTTCGCAGATGTACACTGTGGATACTGAAGGTGGGGCTTGATGGGATCTCTCCTGTGCCACAATTAGCTGGTTGATGTCCCAGGGAAGCAGGGCGGCCCCTGTGCCAGCAAAGCGCAGAAGAAGCCCAGGCTTTAAGATGGTTCAGGTGCCCATGGTCTCCCTCCTGGAGTGAGTCCCCTTTGCCCCGCCTGTGGTAACGGCAATATTGATATAGCTAGAGCGAACTAGGTGCTTGGGGATCATGAGGGCAGCCATTTTACAAGCTTCCTCTCTGCCCAGCTCTGCTGATAGGCCTGGCTCCTGACGAGCAGCGTGCCCTGCTCTCCTAGCCCTGGGGACCTCATGCAGAATCTTCACTGGGTTGCAAACGTGGCTGTCCCGCCTGGTGTGCCATGTAAGCCTGATCTCTGGTCTCTCCCAACAGGCGTCTGCCCCACCTCACTCTCCTTGCAGCAAGTTATGAGCCCAAAGCTAAGCTGTAGGTGCACCATGATAGCAAATGCAAAGCCTGCTTCGGCACCCACTTTACCTGTTCCCAGTCCTTGTAGTCACCAGGCTGTTCGACGGGCAGGATTCTGGGGGCTGGGCTGAGCCAAGCCGTGGAGCACACCCCCTGGGAAGGTGGTTGAATCCGCTCCTTCTCTCCCTGCAGATTATGAATGTCATCAGTGAGAACGAGGCTGCATTTCTCACCTCCCTTCTGCGGGGGCGGCGCATCATAGACAGGACTCTGCAGCAGATGGGTCCCGCCAACCTTTTCCCAGGTTAGTTCCTCCCATGCCGTCAGCTGCGGGGCGCCAGTGTACACCTGCTAATTCCCAATGTGCCTGGTGTCTGTGTCCATTCTCTAATCTGCGTCCTGTCCCCACCCTCTGAGAACGTGGCCATGCTAGAGGTAGGGCAAACTCCTCCACCTGCATCCCAAAGAGGTGAACCCCCCCAGCCCTACTCCACTTAGATAGCGTGCTAGGGGATACTGTCAGCATATCCAAAAGCTCATGGAGAATTAAAGAGGAGGCTTAAGGGAGGCCCCAGATCCAGGCTGACCATGATTTCCCCCATGCCACTGAGAAGGAGAGTGCAACCCAAGGAGGAGCAGCAGCCAGGGTCTGCCATTGGTTAAGAGTGGCTTGGGCCTTTGCTGCTGCGTGTCTCAGCTAAGGCTGGGCTGGACCCTTTGGGCTGGGGGGAGAGCAATGGAAGCAGTGACACACCCCACAGCAGATGGCATAGTGTTCCCTTCTGCCCCAGAGAATTCTCCCCACTTCCAAATCAAAGCTGTGGTAGAGGCCTGCGTACCTGCAGCCCTGCTGGCAATACAGCTCCAGCCCCGTGCTCTGCACCGGCACTGCAAAACAGGTGCTGCATCTCCCAAATATCTCTGAGACGCTTCACTCACCAGAGCTAATGGGATCGTGTGGCTGCCAAGGGGCCCTGTTGCCGGTTTGATGCGTAGGTGCTGTGGTGACTGGCTCCACACAAGCACTAGAACAGCTAGTGCAGTACCCAGCAGGGGGGAGCATGTTTGGGTGTGATAGGGATGATACTGGCTTAACCTTCGCCTGCCTGAGCCGATCTGAACCCATCTCTCTCCACCTGTTCACTAAGCAGTGTGGTTCAGTACCTGGTAGCATAAGGCAATAGGAGAGTTCCGGCAAACACTCCGGAGCTTGCAGAGGCTGTTTGCTGCTACGGTCATTCTAGCTGCATTGGGAACTGGCCTGCCGCTGTGCTGAGGCCTTTCTATGTGCATGTGCTTTGCTGAGCTCTTTAGCGTACCTATTGACAGTCGCAAGCTGCACCATGCTGTCCGGTTGTGGGAGCAAACGTGTTCAAGCCTGTTTGGAAGCATCTGTGCTCACAGTCCCAGGGGAGCTGAGGGCTGGCAGCCCTGTGGTTTTAGAGCACCATTGAGGGAACGCAATGAGCAACTCATCCTTGTTGGCTGCAGTGATGGGGAAGAGAGGTCTCCTTAGGGATGTGAGGACATGCCCCCAGAGAAAGCAAGCGTTTCCTTTCATCACCCTGCTGTGTGTCCTCTCCATGGCCGCCTAGAGGCTGTGTTCTCATTACTGTCTCTCTGCAGCGAAGGTGGCATGGTCGCTGTATGGAAACCTGGGGTTTCCCCTAGATTTGATTGGCTTGATGATTGAAGAAAAGGGAATCCAGCTGGACTGGGCAGCTTTGGACCAGCTAGCCCAAGAAGATGCTGAGGTAGGATACAAAACCCTGCCTCTCATGCAAGCCTCTGTCACTGTGACTCATGCCCTAGACTTTCTGATCAGAGTTTCCATGTAGACTTCCAGTTCATTGCAGGTGCTTCTCATCACCTCTGTAGTCCATCAACACCGTGGAATTCCTTTCTCCTATAGCTCAGGGGTTTGAAGAAGTGTCCTCCAGGGATCTTTCCTGGGATCAGTGCTGTTAAACGTACTCCTGAATTATCTGGGGGAAAAGGGTAAAGAATCTGTGGGGTGACAAAGCTTGCAGTTGATATCAAGATGGTCAGGGATTCAGCCTCGTGTTCTGGGTGATCTTAAGGCCTCTGACTGCCAGATGTTGCGACTGGACTAGGGATATTAGAGTGATGTAACCAAGTAACCGTTTAACGGATACGCTGATGCTTATCAGTTAATGCTATCAGTTACACTCAGCTGGCTCCCAGGGAGGTGGCTTCAATAGGGCATGGCGGAGAAGCCTCCTCCCTGGGAGCCAGGCAGGCAAGAGCTGGCAGTCCTGCTCCCAAAGAGGCTGAGCTGTGGGCTCTGCAGTATAAAACTAAGAAGTGCATGTAACCACTAAGATTTTTAGCAGATACATGGTTACCCTATTAAACGATTTTTAACATCCCTAGACTGGGATTAATTGCTTCATGGGGCAGCACAGATTTGATTGTGGATCTGTTGCCACAGAGTCGAAAGCCACAATCTCTAACCTTATGGTGCAGGTTCTCCTAGGATACCCCAAATTCAAGCTTTGTCTTCACACTTGTACAGCGGAAAGCTCAGACCCACCAGGCAGAACAACTGGAGAGCTCTTGTGTGCAGCTGGATGTGCATTCGCTGGCTCAGCTGCAGAAGGATGGTGTGCCTGCTACTGACGACTCGCCGAAGTACGCCTATACACTCGGGCAGGATGGGAGATATGGTAAGAGCTGAGGCATGGCCCAGAAAGCCTGCATAGGCTCAGGGGAGGTCAGTATCAGATTCATAGCCTGGGAACCTCTTAGGGATGGATCTAACCAGCTAACCATTCCACCTCACAAGGGGTATTATTATATCGGGCATAGTGGAGAGCGTGCTTACGGAATGCAGCCCCATGTATTATCTCCCTCCTCAGCGTATGGCCAAGAGCACAAAGCATGTCTGCTGAACAAATGCTCCTAGTAAAGCTCTGTGACGTTTGCTGTGCTGGTCTTTAAAGACTGCTGTTATCCAATGATGTAGATGAATTGTATTAGATATGCGTCTGTTGGAGATGGGGGTTCAGCGTGCTGCCATCTGCTTGTCTGCAGGACTGGGATGCGTGGGTGCTCGGATTGGTAAATATACCCTGGGTAGGTCCGTGCTGGTAAGACCCAGGAGGGCAGGGTAAATCTCTCGTCTTTTACATTTTTAGCAGAGTAGGAGGAATGGACACTGAGGACTCAGTTCACTCCAGGGATTTAGGTACCTGTCATTAGAGCAGGTGACCACTAGATGCCACTGCTACTTTACATATGGTTTGGAAGCACTGGCACTATTGAAGGAATGTGAAGCTGAGCTGCTGTTGCTGGTCATCAGTTATCAGGCCCCTGCTGTGAATCCTTGGGTAGGAAACTGAGTTGTAGCTCACGGGACTGACCCTGCTGGTGGTAGAAGTGCACCCTACCCTAACCTAGCTGTTTGCTGAGCCCATGTCTGCTGTTAATACATGTCCTTGGCCAACACACGGTTTGTCAAAGGGCTTGCCTTCACTGCAGAATGCACTTGAATTCCTCAAGTGTCTCTCTCTTGACTGCCATCCACACACACGCTCTTCACTGGAGTGTGGTGATGCTTGTCACTCAAGTTGGCTGGCCCGTGAAACATACAGACTAAAGCTCCAGAAAGCACAAATTATCAGCCACTGACACAACCACCGCAGGGTGTGGGTGTGAGTAGCACCACTCATGTGCTGCTGGTCCTCCAGTGCCTTCCTATAATTTTCCCAGTGTGCCCAGAAAAGACCCAGCAAGTTCTTCCACCTTGTGAAAGAGTTCACGGAGCAGTTCAGCTTACAGTAGCACTGCAAACCAGCAATCTTGGGTTACATCTGTATTACCATGTCGACAGGTGCATAACTACAGTGCTGTAGCACCATCCTATAAGACACCTCTTACATCTGCAGAAGAGGTTTTTCCTTTGATGTAGTTAATCCAGCTCTCTGAGAGATGGCAGTTAAGTCGACAGACGATTTCCTCCACCAACTGAGCTGCCTCTACATCCCTGGGTTAGGTTGGCTTAACCATGGTGCAACAGTTTCACAACCCTGAGGGATCAATCTAATTTTGAAATGTAGACCAGCTCGTAGTGCCACACACTAAGTGGGGGTGCACTGCTTACACAAGGTAGCACTGGTGAGCACATGGCAGCTCCAGTGTTGTTTTGCAATGTGGCTGCTTTCACTCCAGCTAGGCCAGCTCCAAAGAAGTTACTCTCAGGTAGATCGTTTAAGTTAATTCTGCAGTGAAGATGAACTTAGTTCCCTTCTGTGAATAGCTGCCTGTTCATCCCTGAGCCACTTCCACTGGCAGACTGCAGCTTTCTCTGTGTGGACCCAGCTGTTCTCAGCTTGCTGATGGGCCATAGAGTGCTAGCCAGTCACATGGTTCTGCCTCCTCATTTCCAGCTGCTACCGCACTGATAAAGAAGCGAACAGCCTTTCAGTGCTTTCTTCTTGTTGCTTTTCTGTGACAGTGATTGCCGAAGGTGCCGCAGTAGGTGGCCTGTACAACCATGGGTAGGAAAGATCGCTTATCAAGATGGGGCCTACACTATGAAGACGTTTGAGACTCCCCTACAGAAATTTTCCCTTCCTTAATATGAGCTCCTGGTTCTTTTTTTCATTTCTCAGCTGCTGAGTACGACTGGAGCTTAGTTTTTCATTCCTGCAAGTCAGCTTGCCCCACGGAGGCAGCTCTTTGTGTGTCTGTGACATCTCCTCCTTGTCATGCTCGCTTCTCCCTCACTCCTCTTGCCACCCACAGCAATGTAATTTTTCTGAGCACCGTTTATTTCTCGTATTTCCAGAAGAACGAAGCTGAATCAGGTGTGCACACCTCTTGCAAGTGGTTGTGAAACCTAGAGTTTGTGCTTGCGCACTGTGAACTGACACTGCCAGGGTCTCACAGGAGTGTGGGTTAGTGATGATGGATGCTGCTGCCTAGCAGGGCCTCTGCATCACCCAGCATCTGTCATTGGCAAGTGTGTAGTTTGTGCCCTTTGCTCACCTAGCTTTGGTGACTGAGTGTTGTATATGAACTGTAAGACGGCGTTTGTCCAGTCTTTTTTAACTTTGCCCCTCTGTCCCGCAGCCGGCTACATGTGATTGTTGTTTTGCAGCCGTTTCAGACCGCACCCTCTTGTGGGCCACAGATGCTCAGCATCCAGGGAGCGTTCTAGATTTGTAATTTGGGGGATAGTGCATAGTGTGATCCTACAGCCCATAGGGCTGTTGAGATTAAATAAGATAACCACCCAATACACAACACTTAGACTGAGGGGCTGAGAGGGCAGACGTACAGGCCAGGAAATTCAGCGGAAGTTCCTACATTACATATGATATTAATGGTTTGCTAGTGGAGTAACCCCAGCCGCATAATGCACAGGAAAATATACCTACCATACAGCTACATGGAGGCTCCCTGTGAACTTCCTGCAGTTTGCATTCAGTAGCAAAGCAGCCACATTAATTAGAGCAGAATGAGGACCACGCTGATACTTAATTAAATCATGGCTGGAGCTGGCCCCCTAGGGACTCATTGCCTGTTAACCCTTTGGGGGAGTTTCCTTTACTCCTGGGCTTCGAGAGCTGTGTGTTCAGGCTTTGTCCCCTTGGTCTTTGGAGGCAGCAGAGTGAAAGTTATAAAGTACCAGGTTTTGTTACAAACTAATGACAGATCTTTTTTTCCTTCATGTCACTCTGTCAGCTCCGGCACTTCCTCCAGCTGGGGTGCTGCCAGGTTGTCTCAGATTTACTGAGGCTTCCTGCCCCAGCACAGACTCTGCTCTCTGAGTAGGGGAGGGGTAGGACGGGAGGGTGCTGGAGTGATATGGTGGGCCAGTCCAAACCCTCTGTGCTTCAAAGGGAAGGCAGAGAAGTGGTGCTGGGGTGGGGGTGGGGAGCAGTTGATAAACATTACTGACTCGCTCTCCCCTTTCGCAGTGTTTAGCCCGTGCCAGGCCACCATCTTGATGCTGTACAAAGATCAGTCTCTTCAGAAGGAGGTTGGGGCAGGCCAGCGCTGCGGTGTCCTCCTGGACAGGACCAGCTTCTATGCAGAGCAGGGAGGCCAAGCACATGATCGGGGCTACCTCGTGCGCCTGGGGCAACAGGTGAGCTTGTCTGCTGCCTGCGACTGGAATTACTACCCAGGCCAGGCATGACCTCTCCTCCACAGTACTAGGCTGCTGGCTGGAGCCCATCTTCAGGCTCTTCCTCGTCTTCCAGCCGTTTGCTGAGCTGGGCACTGGTGAGGGGTGCCTGAGAGAAGCCCAGTGACTCAGAGCAGAAATGGTTTCAGGGAGCTTCTGTTCCTCTCTCAATGGCCCCTGAGAAAGCACAGAGAGTTGGGAGTGGCTGGAGACCCTTCCTCCTTCAGAGCCCATTCTCTCCAGCACACGGCGTTCTTCCTTAGCTGGACCAAGACCCTGGAGAATTTGATCATCAAATTTTATCATTAAAGGGTCCTTGGACTGAGCAACTTCTGCATAGCCAGTCCTAGAGACTGTAAGTGGTGCCCACCTGAAACTGAAATTGGCCCTCTATCCATTCCCCCCTCCGCCTCCCTAAGGCACTAGGGAGAATTTACACCATCCACCACCACCACCGGCAAAGCACATTGCTTCTGCCCCCTCGGGGCTCAAATGGAGGGAAACTGAAGCCTCTTTAGGGGATTCTAATTCGAGAACAGAATCTGTAGTGCTGTGGAGTTGGGCTGTACACTGCACCGTGGCCTCAGCCATGCAGCGGCTCAGCTCCTTTCCCTCCCCCCTCAGCACTGGGAATAACCCCCATAGCTCAGATGCTTCCCTTCCCTCCCAGGACAACGAGCTGGGATCCCCATGCAGAGCTCATCCATGCTATTCCTTCATAAGCCAAGGGGGGTGCTATTGAGTCACATGCAGCACCGTCTGTCCTCCCTTGTATCCAGACCCGTGAGCTGAAAGCTGTCCCTGTGTGCGAGTGAGCAAGTGGCTTCAGTCCATTCCCTAAGGAACAAGTGGCCATGGCTCAGAACATCAGGCTCATGGCTGGCAGCATCTCCCTGCTTGCTGGCAGCCGCAGAGCCACCCACGGAATGACAGGGCCATGGAGATGGAACTCCCGGGCAGGGCTGAGGCAGGGTGGTGGCCGGGATAGGATGGTGTTTGCAGGTTGCTTGCCGTGCCCCTTCCCCTCCTGTACCTGTTCTGGGGGCTCCCTTGAAATCTCTATGCTGCCATGGAGACTGAGGGCATTGAGCACCTGTGCTAACCACCCCTCTGTCTCTCTGCTTCAAGGACATGCTCTTCCCAGTGGAGTCAGTTCAGCTCTCTGGTGGCTACGTGATCCATGAGGTCACGGCAACCGCGACCCTGCGGGCTGGGGACCAAGTGCAACTCTTTGTAGATGAGGTGAGGACTTGCTTGGCCCTGCTGTTGGGGGTGACGTGTGGCACTGAGCAGCTGAGAGCAAAGAGCTGCCACTTTTGTCTGTCTTCCATCTGCCTGAGGTTTGGGTTCGGACGTATTTCCTCATTGTGTGGAGGGGTGCTCCCTCTGGGTCCTGTCTTCCATCTCCCAGAGGGGCACGGGACCCTGTCCAGCAAAATCTAGCCTAGCACTGCTGTCAGTACACGATAGATGGGAAAGGCAACTGGAGTCAGATCACTGGGAGGGCTCATGGACTGTTGTGCATACAGAGTACCCCATTTGCGTACACGCTACTGCTTCTCTTCCCCCATCTCTCCTAGCCCCTCGATGGCTGCAGGCTCCCCACGCAGCTCTGTCACCCTTAGGATACACTCACACACTGGTCCTCCTGCTTGACTGTCTTGTTTGTGGTTTCAGGCGCAGCGGCTGGCCTGCATGGTGAACCACACTGCCACCCATCTGCTGAGCTTTGCGCTCCGCCGCGTCCTGGGAGACCAGACAGAACAGCGAGGGTCACACGTGACTGCTGAGCAGCTGCGATTTGACTTCAGTACCAAGGTGATGGGACTCCCATGGTGCCCCATGATAGAAGGGTCCCTGTAGGCCAGGAGACCATCCCTGGACTGTATAAACCACCCTCCCAGTGCACCTCTCCTGCCAGTGGCCATGAGAACTAACCACTCAAGCCCTGCAATGGTTTCAGCTGTTACTGTGTCTCCTAGGTGGAGCAGGGGCTGTGTTGGCAGGCTAGCTCCCTTCTGCTTCTCTTGGGATGGGATTGCCCCATAACCACGGCCTAGCACAACGGTTCTCAAACTTTGTATTGGTGGCTCCTTTCCCACAGCAAGCCTATGCATGTCCCCCTCCCCCCATTATAAATTACAAACACTTTGTTATATTTAACTTTATTATAAATCCTGGCGGTGCGTGGGGACGGAGAGTCTGACCGCTCGCAACCCCCCACGTCATAACCTTGGGACTCCCTGAGGGGTTACAGCCTGAAGTTTGAAAACCCCTGGCCTAGCACCTCTTGAGTCCAGCCAGGCTGTAGCTGTCTTAAGGAGACAACACGCTCACACTAATTCCCTGCCGTCACCTGAGTCCTGCTCTAGGTGTGGCCCCAAGTGCCCTCTGTGTGGGAAAGGCCAGGAGGGGTGGGTTTGGAGGTATGGAGAATTGGCAGGGGGCCCTGGAGTGCCGGTGGTGGGCTTGCTGACTTGACGGTAGCGTGTGCTGGAGGCAAGCTTTCAGGGGCATGTGGTGTCCGTGCCTCAGAGCTCAGAGCGGGTCCTTCCTGGGGCAAGAAGGAGGTGTACAAATGGATGACACAGGCTGGCGGGGGCAGAGGAGGATGCTCAGTGAATTCATCCTTAGCATGTGGATAGTGTCTCCCCTGAAGAACATTACTGGCATTTTTGGAGCAGTGGGAGGGTCGGGTTGTGCTGATGGCTACTTCCAGTGACATGGTTGGGGAAGGGGGAGCCAGGCACAAGGCGGAAGCATTGTATTCTGACATGGAGCTGTGAAAAGAAGCCAAAGTCCTGGCACTGAGCCTTCCTGCTCACGCACACCACTTCCCCCTTTGTGTCTCTGACCCTGTGCCCCTGACGGTGGATGATCTCCTCCCCCAGGCCCCTGTGACCATGCAGCAGCTGCAGGAAATAGAAGGTGTGATCCAGGAAGTGGTTGCCCAGAATGAAAGTGTCTATATGGCAGAGGCCCCCCTGGCACTGGCAAGTGGCATTCAGGGACTCCGGACCATGGATGAGGTACGGTAGCAGGGTGTGTGATAAGCCCACAAACCTCAGCAAAAGGCAGCTCCCAGCCAAGGTTATAAGGATCCCAAGAGGTGTGCAGAGATAGACTCCCTGATACAGGCAGTCTCCATCTCGACAAGCATGGAAAGGGAAGCTTGCGCCAGAGAGGGGCCAATGATGGTGTGTTCTTGAGGGTGTCCAGGCAGCCTCAGGTTTGATGATGTGGAAGCTGCTCCAGGGAGGCGGGCCTGGAGCCATGCAGCGTGGTCCCACTAATCTGCTCTCTTTTCTTTCTGAACAGCAAACCCCTGTGTGCCAGTTCATGGGAGCAGCAGATTGAGCTGCTGGGGGCTCTGGAGAGGGGGTGCAGAGGCTGTAACCTGATTCTGTGACCCAGTGGGAATCTCCTTGTTTGCTGGCAGCTGATCTTTCTCCTCTCAGGTGTATCCGGATCCAGTGAGGGTGGTGTCCGTGGGGGTGCCGCTGGAGAGGGTGCTGACCCCCAACTCTCAGGCTGCAATGCAGACTTCTGTGGAGCTGTGCTGTGGGACGTAAGTGTTCTTCTCTGTGGTCAGATAGCGCCGTGTGGTGGCAGGGCGGGTACGTGTGAGACTCTTGGCTTGTCTTCCCACCCAGGTCCAGAGGCAGGGTGTGAGTGAGGGTCCCTAAGTCGTCTGGACCTTGACCGTAGGGGAGATTCTGTGGATCAAGAGCGAGAAAGCAAAAGCTGGCTGCCTGTAGCAAAGCTGAGAATGAAGGCAAAGGGCACACACCCTGTTATCTCCCTGTTTCTCCACCCACCCCACAGGCACTTACTGCAGACTGGAGCCGTGCAGGATCTGACCATCATCTCCGAGCGTCAGCTGGTTAAAGGGATCAGTCGCATCATCGCAGTCACTGGGGAGCAAGCCAGGCAGGTGAGACAAGAGGAGGCTGAGATTTCCCTAGTATGAGGACACTAAAAACTGGGGATTGACAGTGCTGATGTGATCCTACGCTGTGTGATGCTCCCCACTGCCCTCCCCAGCTCTGCTAATGCCCTGTGTCTTTCATTTCCCCTCTCCCCCAGCATACTCACAGCTCTGCCATTGCACTTCACCACTGATCTATGACCCCCTCGCTTCCAGCCCCGGCTCCCCACACACAGCTCTGCCAGTGCCCCTCCCCCTGCCCTGCAGCCCCCTGCTATCCCAGCCCTGGGCTCCCCACACACAGCTCTGCCAGTGCCCCTCCCCCTGCCCTGCAGCCCCCTGCTATCCCAGCCCTGGGCTCCCCACACACAGCTCTGCCAGTGCCCCTCCCCCTGCCCTGCAGCCCCCTGCTATCCCAGCCCTGGGCTCCCCACACACAGCTCTGCCAGTGCCCCTCCCCCTGCCCTGCAGCCCCCTGCTATCCCAGCCCTGGGCTCCCCACACACAGCTCTGCCAGTGCCCCTCCCCCTGCCCTGCAATACCACTTCTGAGCTGATAATTCTGTACTGAATCGCACAAAACCTTTGACCTCTCTTCACAGGTGGGAATTAAACCCAAGTCTCAAGAGTCTCACCGTTTGTTCCGCTCTGCCCTAGTTTCATACCCTAGCACAGCAGCCTTTCACTGCTTAGCTCTTGTCTCGTTCTAGCAATTTTTACTTCTTGGCTCTGATCCTTGACTCTTGCTCAGCAGTGATCCTGGCTGGCAGGTCCATGCACAGAGCAATTGACCTAGTTACTTGGTGCGTGGGAAGCCCTGATGTGCTTGAGCACCTGGGAGCTAGGGACTCAGCCTCCTTTGCCATCTCTCTCATGCAGCACTCCAAGGAAAGTACAGTCATTGGGGGAGATACGCTTCCCTGGTGGGACTTGTAGCCCTTCCCTAGTGCATTCTCCCACAGGTTGCTGTTGTGTTTGGTGCTGAGGCGAGTGACTTGCCATCGGGGCTGTGCGTGTTAATCAGCCTGCGGATGCTGCAGAGTGTAAAGGGAACATATGGAGGCTGGGCAGAGCATTTTCCCTGCTCAGTGCCAGCTCTCCCCTTATACCCAGAGCTCTCCAGGGGCAAAATCGGTGACTTCCTCCTCAGCTCAGCATGGGCACCCCTCAGGAGCTGACGCTGCCAGAATAAAGGAGGTTATTGGGGGGAAAAAATCCTGCTGGTAGAGATCTGTGAGCCCCACCACGTGGGATGTTAACACTAGATTAGGCAATGAAGCTAGAAAAAGCTCCACACAGTCCCATGTAGGCTTCTTGGGGAGGACGCGCTAGAAGAGGTAAAAGGTCTCCAAAGCCCACAGTGCATCTGGTAGTCAAAACACAGCCCAGATGATGGAGCTTATAGCCTCTCCAGCTAGAGCCCCTGACGTCGCTGTAGGACATTTAAACAGGGCTTCAATGAGGTGTTTACTGATGGGCTTTCCCTGTGTGCAGCTCAGTCCCTTCCAGCTGGCCTGTTTATCACTGACTGGCTATAAATCTGTGGGGAGGATTGTCTTCCAGACCCTCGATATCTTAGTGACCCACGTTTGTCACTAATAAAGCTCCAAACAAGAACCACTTGGTGACAGACCACAAACCTTTACTGTAGCAGCTTCGTAAGTGTGTCTTCCTCCTGGGAGCTTGACGTTTGAAGACCTGCAATTTCCTTGAGGCCTGAGCCCACTGAGCGTCTTTCTGCTGCTCTCCTAGGCACGGGAAGTAGGTCAGGCCTTGGCTAAAGAAGTGGACTCGCTCTCTGTGCGAGTGAAACAGGGAAGTGCTTTTCTCCCCGAGGTGCAGAGCCTCTCCAAGGAGGTGGGACGCCTGACGGAGGTGAGTGCTGCGTTCCTTATGCAGAAGCATCCCAACATGAGTTTGAAATGCAGGGTCATGTCTCTCTTCACCCCTAGTTTCCAGTCTCACCCATGTCCGCGACAGCAGAAAGCTGCTGCCATTTGATCATCTGTTGGGTGCCTGACACGATAGGAGTTGCAGAGGTCTCAGTCCACTTCCACGTATGCGTACTGTGGGAAACCCTGTTGTCACAGGGAACAAGGGAGGAAGGGGCAGCAGGGGGAAAGCTGGTCTAGCTTGGGAGATGACAGCTAGATCATAAAGCCTCCTCCGCCTCCTCCTCCTCACCCACTGAGGTTTTCCCCAGGCTTTGGCAGCTGCTGCTTGCTTGCTTGCTCAGATCAGAGGAGGCAGCACAGGTTCTACTCCGGTGGTCCAGACTTCTGCAGTCTGGCAACATCCTTGGCCCGGCATCCCTCTGGGTGCCCCTGAGCTGGAGCAGCCCCGGGGAGAAGACAGGCCACATGCTCAGCAACTCCTTCCCCGCTCTCCCAGAGATAGTGGAGCACCACAGAGGAGCTAGGCGCAGTGTTCACCCTCAGGGAGGGAGCAAGGTGGAGGAGTGGGGACGAGGGGACGCTTGCTCTGGGGAAGAGGCAGAGCGGCTGTGGAGCCTCACAGCTGGGGAGTGGGAGCGGAGCCCCACAGTTGCCACAGGGCTCCAGGTGTTCCTATAGGGCTGTGTTCCTGGCCCCCAGCCACCCTCCCTCTTCCCCTTAGTGCTTGCTTGCCTCCCTTCACCCAGGCCCCGCTCAGTCAAGATGCAACAGCAGCAGGAACAGCCCTGACCCCCGCCCCTGCTCCGGCTTATTCCTTGGTTCAGAACGGGTCAGGTCCCAAGGATGCTGGACCAGGGAGGTGCAATCTGTAGCAACGCCCAGGCAGAGGCTAAGCACCATCCTGCCTGCTAAGGAATTGGGAGTTGACTTCTAGGAAGTGCATAAATATGTGTGCACATGTGTTTAAGCTGCTGGTTATTTTTCAGGAGGTGGGCAGCACTGCAATGCCCCAGTGGCAGAGACGGGAACTGCAGGCCACTCTCAAAGCTCTGCAGCGAGCAGCAAACACCGCCATCAGAAAACTAGAAATCAGTCAGGTAAGGATGCAGCTGTGAGATCTCTGACAGCTTCGCAGCCTGCTGAAGGCCACCAAATGGTTCTACACTGAATGGCCACCTTCCCTCGCCTTGATCTTCCCTTATACGAGGCCCCCAGCTGTTCCGTTCATCAGAGTGAATGCTCAGAAATCAGGTCCCTGGGAAAGCAGGGTAAGGGGTGGCCATTTCCAGTGTAGGAGAATTCCCTGTTGCGCTTTGTGCTGCTTATTCAACTGAGCTACCCAGCAAGTCTCCCATGTTGGTTTTAGTGCTGGAACTAGCCCTTCACCGGGGCAAGTCCAGGTTGGATATTAGGAAAAACGATTTCACTAGGAGAGTGGTGAAGCACTGGGATGGGTTACCTAGGGAGGTGGTGGAATCTCCATCCCTAGAGGTGTTTAAGTCTCAGCTTGATAAAGCCCTGGCCGGGTTGATTTAGTTGGAATTGGTTCTGCCTAGAGCAGGGGGCTGGACTTGATGACCTTCTGAGGTCTCTTGCAGCTCTATGGTTCTATGATTCTATGATAAGCTTCCAGCCCTGCAAACATGGGGATACACCATGTAAGTGCTTTACAAACACTGACCTCCCAGCCTCCCTCCCCACTGGGAGTCAGGTGAACATTATCCCCAGAGCTACAGGTGGTGAAACTGAGGCACAAAACTGTAAAATGAGTTCCCCAGGCTACGCGGCATTGGCAGCAGAGCCGGGAGTGGACACTGTGCTTGTTGCTCTAGCTTCTGTGGCAGTCCATGGTGTTCATTAGCTTGCTTGTATTTGACACTCCAGGACTAGTGTTTGGTCATTGAGTCTTCTCTGCAACGAGTTCTGGGAACTGGAGTCTTGTCAGAATTCGAGTGTGACCCACTTGGTTGCCACAGAATATACCTGGGATGTGGGTCTAAATGGGCCATGGAGACTGAATTTCCCTCTCCTTTGGGGGGCCGGGGAGAGCAGTGGTGGGGCAAGGCAGGGCTGAGGCATGTGGACAGGGGCTTGCATAGTCTATTCAGTGGACCAACAGAGGATTTCAGTCTTCAGGGCTTAGTCTGCCCCCTCCACCCTGTGACAGCATTCGCTTCCCCTGTGACAAGGCTGTCTGTCCCCTCCATCTTCCCCTGCCATCTGTGGCCTCCCACCGCTCTGTATGTTTGCTCCTCCAGGCTGCGGAGAAAGCACAAGGCCTGCTGTCAAAGCACTCCAAGAGGCCCATCATCGTCGATACCATCCCAGCTGACTCGCTCTCCGTGAGTGTTCGTGGGCAGAATCTCTGTGCAGTTGCCATCCGGGTTCTGGAGCCCGAGGACGCTGGCCCAGCTGACTCAGGGCTGGGGCGGCACTGGGGAGATGCCGCAGTGGTTGGAACAGTTTGGGGATGCGGAGGCAGAACTGCCGGAGAGCAGAGTAAGCTGAGCTGCTCTGCCGTGCAGTGCGCTGGCTGGTGCAGTAACAGCCCGTTCTAGTATTTTTAGCTTAGTTATTTGCTCAGGCGTTTCCCCTCCCTCCCTGCCTGACGCTGCCTCTCCCTGCCTCACCTAGATCCTGATGAAGGTGGTGAACCAGCTCAGTGACAAGTCTCCTGGGGCGTCAGTGTTGCTGCTGAGCCCACAGGCATCCGGCGAGGTGCTCTGTGCCTGTCAGGTGCCCAAGGTAAGCCTGCTATGGGCTACTGGCCCATCTGGGTTCTGTCGGGGGAACTCGCCTCTGCCCCATTTAGGGGACAGGCCCTGGGCTACAGCGCACGCCTTCCATTGTGGGATTGCCCCTTAGTCATCTAATGAGACACAAGGTGCTTCCCCCCCTTGCTGGCCTGCAGAGGGATGGGGCAAAGGGGCCCAAGTCTGCCATGGGGCAGGGCAGGGCTCAGGTTCCACAATACTGCCAGTAGCTGCTGGCTCAGGGAGCGAAGATCCAGGTTGCTTGCATGCTGCAAAAGGGCCCTCCATGCCCTCTTGGTCCTTTCTTTCCCCATCCAGGCTTGGGTGCCCCCTGGCCCAATGAGGCTAACCTCTCTCCTCATGTCTCTCCCCAGAGTGCCCTGCCCACGTTTTCTGCTGCGGACTGGGCCCTGGCTGTCTGTACTCACATGGGAGGCAATGCCGGGGGCTCTGGCATTGTAGCCAAAGGTACTGGGAACACCAAGGACCTTCAGGGGGCTCTGACTGCTGCACTGGAGTTTGCCCGGAGTAGACTCTGAAGTCTTGTTTTGTGGGGTCAGCTAGAGCCTCACATCTCAGGGACGTGGACAGACTATCCCTTGGCTGCGCCCCACTTCAGCTTCCAACGAGCTCTGTCTTGGGTAGCTGAGCAGCTCCCGCTGCTGAGCGCAGCCGCCGAGCACCGTGAATCAGGGATACCTGGCTTCCTGCCCCCAGGAGTCAACATAGGAATAGGGGTCAGAGTCGGGCCCACCATCCTACCCCAAAGGAGGGAATGGAGGAGGCAGCTGAGTCAGTGCATTTGGCCATCTAGACTGGATGCCTGGGGATTGTCACAGAAGGAGCCAGATTCCCCACCGGCTCTTCTGTCTGTGGGAGGTTATGGCTGCTAGAGCGGTGGCCCTGCTCCTGAGCTGTGTCTGGGAGAAACCCCCATGCAGGAAGCTCTGTGGGGGAGGAGGGGAGCTGTGCAATGGTATTCTGAAGCTAATAAAGAACTGAGATTGGCTGAGCTGCTAATACCTTTTTCTGATTGGCTGCAGTTTCCTTCCAGTGCAGCAAGGCCACATGGGTGTTCTGTCCCTGCAAACTGCCCTCAGCAGCTGCTTTAACTCTCTTCTCGCAGCCGTACTGGTTATCTTCAAAGTGCTGTTCAAGGACAGAGCAGCCCTCTTCCCCTCTCCCCACCTGTATTGTAATAGCACGGTCCCCACCTTACAAGCAGAGCAGAAACTAAAATGGGCAAGTCCTCTAGCTCACAGTGCTCAGAGCTTCTGCAGGGCTTAGGGCAGTGTCCGTTTCCAGGTGATGGGGTTTGGAATTCATCCTGCAACCCCAGAGATATGAATGGCAAGAATGTGTTCTGGTTATTCGGCCTGTTTGCTTTGTGCCATCCCATTATTCCTGCTCCTCCTCTTCACCACTCTTCAAATACTTCCCTTTTCAGAGCTGGTCTCTGTTCCTCTGGTTTGTCATGTTCAGCCCTGCCCCTTATTCACATGCCAACGGCAAACTTGGCCGTGGTGGGATATCTAAGAGAGCATTAGGAACATGTTTCACAGACACCCTGGGCAGCAAACACTGTTGCATTGATGCTGATGTCATGGCTGTGCAAACATAGAATTAACCTATGAAACTCCCTGAAGCAGGAGAAAGCAAAGCCCAGACTGCGCTGGCCTTAAAAAGGATTAGTTAATTTTTATGAGCACTAAGAGCGTATACAGTCAAACTCAAATAACCTGGGCAATTTAAACCTCATTATTATGTGTATTACAGCTCCAAGGCTGTGTCAATTGAAAGTGAAAATACTCCCTGCCCACAAGACCTTGCCAAACTTGGCTCATGCTAAGATGCAGTGGGTGAGGGGAGAGGAGGACTGGCAAGGTGGGTGCCATAAGCAGTAGAGGTCGCTCATCACCTGCCTGGTCATTATCAGCTGCTAAAGTTTGGTAGGCATCACAGCAGTGTTGCGTTTGAAGGATGAGGGGGCAGAGGCATGGATTTGGGGGGGAGTTTTGCTCATATATAAAGGGTTGGGCCAGCACTTAGGTTGTTTGGGCCAGCACAAGGGTACTTTGCTGTGCAATGCTGAGTGTCACTGCGCCTACGTCCTTAAAATCATAGGGACACACAATGAGTCAAAGCCTGACTTCAGCCCCTTCCCTCCGTGCACAGTGCAGGGCTGAGACAGGCACTTCAGAGTGCAGCATGCTTGGCAGAGAGGTGCCTAAGGTAGCCCATGACCCCTGCAGCCATCCGCTTTGAGCAGCTTGCAGTACAGCAGGTAAGGAGCCAGCCCGAGGCCAGGAGCTGCCTAAGGTAAGCACCTCACAGTCAGAGCCAGCACCTGACACCCCACCCTCTCCTCCCAGTTTCCTGCCCCAGATCACAACCCCCTCCCAAACCCCCACTCTCTCCTGCACCCTAGTCCTCTACCCCAAGCTCCCTTCTGCACCCAACCTCCTTTCCAGACTTCACACCTTCTCCATTAATATCTTAGAGTACGGCCCTCAACCACTTTCCAAATTCTTGGCCTCCCATCAAAAATTATTGCCCACCCCAGTTAGAGCATGTTCCTGAAAGGTGACAAGTCCAGTTCAAATTCCCCTCAAGTGAAGGGGGGAAGTGAAGCTGGTGCTCTCTTGCACCCCGGGTGAGTACACAGAGTGATGAGGGAGGGCCACTCCCCCAGCTGCTTTGTGTGCCCTTGAGGAGTCCAACTGATGCAGTCTCTGAGCATGTCTACTGGCTTAGGCCTCAGATGTGACTTAAGTGGCCACACATGTTGTTTCCCCCATTTGTGAATCACTCTGGGGTGTTGGCAGGAGCCAGGCATCCAGACTCCTAGAGTGAGACAGCAATACACATGCCCTGAGCCTTCAGCACAGTCACTTTTACAAGAGAAACACAGGCGCTGAGAGACTAGGCATCTAGAGGGTTTCTCAGTTTTGTGAATGGCCTAAAACAAGTGTCATAGAGTTGGAAGAGACCTCAGAAGGTCATCAAGTCCAGCCCCCTGCCCAAGGCAGGACCAATCCCAACAAAGTCAACCCAGCCAGAGCTTTGTCAAGCTTGAGACTTAAACACCTCTAGGGATGGAGACTCCACCACCTCCCTAGGCAACCCATCCCAGTGCTTCCCCACACTCCTAGTGAAATAGTTTTTCCTAATATCCAACCTAGACCTTCCCCACTGCAGCTTGAGACCATTGCTCCTTGTTCTGCCATCTGTCACCACTGAGAACAGCCTCTTTCCATCCTCTTTGGAACCTCCCTTCAGGAAGTTGAAGGCTGCTATCAAATTCCCCCTCGCTCTTCTCTTCTGCAGACTACATCTCTGTGACTTGAGGCCCACGTGACCGGGCAGTGCAGTCAGGGAATGCTGGCAAAGCAAAGGTGACCTGAGGAGCTCATGCAAAAGCTGAGGCTAGGTGCAGAAGAGAGGGGAGCCGGAGGTGGGTGGTAATGCGAAGGTGGTCTTAGCAGCACTTTGCACACACGGACGCAGGAGTTGGGTGATCCAGGCTAGCTAGGAGAAGGTGGCTGCAGCAGGCAGCCTGGGAGTGGATGTTAGTGACAGCTGTGCAGGCACTGCTGGAATCCCTCAGCCAGCCTGCACAGTCGGCAGCACTGTGACATTATCCTCTGGCCCAAGAGCCTTGAGGCTGTAGAGCAGATCTGGCCAGCCTAGGATTCGGTTCCTCACCTGATAATCAGCTCAGCGTCATTCAGAACAGGGACACAGGCTGGTGCTGTAGAACAGGAGCCAAACACAGAAGCCATCTCCTTTGAACTCCATCCTTTACTCAAGAGCCCTCCAGCCCTTCCCTGTTGCACTGGGAGCCAGACCCTGCTCTGGGCAGGAAGCTGCCTTTCTTTCGCTCTAGCCTTGCGTCTGCTAGAGAGTCTGGGTGGGTTGCTCAGTCAGGGAGGGCAAAAGAGCCAAGCACTAGGGTTGCCGGGTGTCCGGTATTCACCCGGACCATCCAGTATTTTTGGCTCCTGTCCAGTAAAAAAATTCAGAGAATACCGGACACCTAAAATGTCTGGTATTTTCTGAATTTTTCCCTGGCCAGAAGGCAAAAATGCTGGGCACCTGGCAACCCTACAAACACTCAGCGCCCAGCCTCCCCCCTGCTCTTCAACCCCCCCCTTTCCCTCTGGCCCTGTGGCCCCAGCCCCCATGCTTACCTGCTTCCCTAAGGCTGCCAGCACAAAATGGCTGCCGGCCAAAAGACCTAGAGGAAGCAATAAGTCCTTGGAGTCCCTTTTTTGTGCTCAACAACTTTGGTCTCTCTCCCCCCTCCCCCCCTTTTTTCCCCCCTTCAACACAATTTTTTCCTGGTGTTTTTACTGG